GAGAATTTGAACGTGGGCCTCTTTCTCTTAGTTACGCTGCTAAGCCACCTTGGAATGAAAACGGAGTATTTTTTCCCTGAACACACAGCTTGATAGTTTCTGTCTTTGGGCTGGGCTGGACCAAGAAAACGCCTTCTGGTCATCTCCCTACCTTCCCAATGCCTAAGGGCAGTCTCTTTCCACTTACATATCAGGGCGGACAGGTAGACACCTATGTGCATCATTAATACGCACAAGTCTTCAGACAAACCCAGATACGCACATCTGGATCCCGATTGATGTAGCTACTCCCAGTAATTTGCCATTATAAATATCAAGCTGTAAGAAGCATCATCCTATATATGACTTTTTCGCATTTTGGCTAATTATTTTAGGGCAGATATCCAGAAGTAGAATTATTAGATCAAAGGACATGGACGTTATCTTTGCTCAATATGCATACTGCCAAACTGTTTTCCGAAAGAATTATGCAAATTTATAATGCCATTATTAATATAGTATTGATATTATGATTACTGTATTTTTCACATTCACAATTTGTAATTAAAACTGTCATTTATGTATATTTATAAATTAAGTTTATGATATTAACATGTATATATGTTACCATAATTATAATTTTGGTAGAGACAAGGTATTAATTAGGTTAACAAGGTATTAATAATAAAGTAATGTACTTTATTAAGCATATGAAATATATGCCCTCTATTTTTATAATTTGTATTTCTTCTTTCATAAATTGTCTCTTCTGTCATTTGCACAGTTGTCTACACAACTACAACACCGTATTTCCTACTGGTGGTTAGTGAGAGAATTATGGGAAAGTGTAGAACGTTTCAAATGCACATTATCCTTTTTTATTTAATATGGAGACATTTCGTTCAGTGATTCCTGCCTGACCACCCTCTGAGCAAGTACAGTTGTAAATGTTGCTCTACATTTTCAAAGAGGAAGCAGGAATTTAGTGCATTAGGAACTTGCTGCCACGCCTTAGCGACGTCCTAGAAGATCTGTTACCCTTGCTCACATTGACCTCTTCTTCACCTCTTTTTCTTTGTGCCAGAAGAGCAGTCTGACCCTTTGGGGACGCCGCCCTCCACCCTACTGTTCTCTCCAACCTGAGGCAAACTTTCTCCTACTTCCCTGGGCCTCTCAGAAAGGGTGAGGTAGCCTGCTCGCTGGAATCCAGAATCATTTTCAGTCTTGAGCTCCTGTGACCCTCTCATGAGGGTCTCCTCATGTGAAGCCTTTGACTTCTGCTTCTTCTTTGACCCTTAGGACTGGCATTGTGTCTGGCACATCTCGGGGGCTCAGTCACCGTTGAACTAAACCGATACTGTCTCCTGCAGAGGTCTCGAACTGACCGTGCCTACTAATACCCCAGAGGCTCAGGCTGTCCTTCCTCCTTATGGTCTCAAGTAAGTCAGCCTCTTTACCCCACCACAGGTCCCCTTCTTCTACCTGTTCTCACCTTTCTTATCCTAATGGGTCTTTTCCTCATATTTTCTTCCCTTCTAATGGCTTTCGTTTCACCCACCCCTCTGGTTTACCATAACCTGCCTTTGAAACGGGCAAACGTGGGCCTCATGGAAGCAAAGCAACTTTCAGTTTACCCTGCTTCTCCTTCAGAAATGTACCATATAGTACGAATCCAAAACTTGTAGTCCAAAGCTAAAAATTCTATACCCACCCACCGCCTCCAACGCCCTCATCAGGAAGGTAGTGTTGGAGGAAAGCGTGAAGAGCCACCCCCAACTTCTCAAAAAAGTAAAGGCAGTGTTCCCACTTAAAACAGCCACCATTCCATTATATCTCACAATGTCATGGGTCAAACATTCGGGTAGTGCTCAGCTGATATGATTCTTCTGTCCCACTGACATGCGCAGAGATGACTCGGTGCTATCTAGTGGGCGGGTGAGTTTATCTGCAGAATCCCAGATAGCTGCATTCTCATGTCTGGCGCCTTGGTGGGGAGGGCTGGAAGCGTCTGCATGGGGCCTCTCCAGTGTGAGAGCCTCGGAGGAGTTGTATTTCTTACGTGGTGGCCCAGGGCTCCAGGTGTTCCAAGTGACTAAGAAGCTGAAAGGACTTTTATGATATAGCCTCGGAAACTACAGAGCATCAGTTCTGTCTTATTCTGTTGGTCAGAGCATTCACAGGCCTGCCCAGATGCAAGGGGAAGGGACATGGACCCTCACCTTTTAATGGGAGGAATTTGTGATTATGCTTTAAAACCACTATAGATGGGACACTGTGAACGATTCAGGTTAGGATTAGGTTGTGGGTTGGGGACTAACCAGTTGATAGCAGCTGTTCTCTAGAGTTAGTCAGGAAAAACGCCCCCACCCCCTTTACATCTACTCACACTATACCCAACATTCTCAATCTCTGCTTAGCCGTCAGCCTCAACCTAATGACTCCAGCACAGTGCACCCCTAAGATGACCAACAGTCTTAGAACCAAACCCTACAGGCTTTTCTTCATTTTTGTCCTCTTTTGACATTTCTCCTAAACTTCATGCTAGTCAAGACCCCACCCTTCCTTAAATTATACTCTCAAATACTATGGTTCCATGACTGGATATACACTGTACTTTTACCCTTGACAAGGCCATTCTTCCCAGCCCATAAGTCTGGGTACCCCTACATCTTGGCCCATGACCCTTTTCCTAGTCCTATTGTTCTCAGTCCTGTTTAAAGTGTGCCCTCTTAAAAAAATAAATAAAAATAGAGTGTACCCTCTTTCATCACATCTGTATTGCTGACTCCCAAATACCTCCCAGCTCTGATTTCTTGCTCTTTTAGCATGTTATATGTGGTTTCCTATGGTAGCTTTTTACCTATGATAAACACCCTTCTCTTCAAATAATTCCAAGACTCTAAAAGCTGATTTCAACTTTGTGCTCCTAAAATCACCTCTCTTTACCGTCTCACGACAATCAGCTGTCACCATCACCGAGCCTACTACCCATGTTCTTAAACTCAGTTATCTCTAAAAAAATCTTTGACTCTATATCCAATCATTCATAAGGCTGTACCGTTTACTATATTAAATATGACATTTATGTGAGAGCACTTTACAATCTTTAAAGTACTGTCCATGCGTGAGTTGATAACATGAATCCACATTTGGAGCAGACTTTCAAGGTCATCCCTCAAGCTGGCCTCATTGGGCTTCTATAGTCTCATCTTTTACCAACTGCTTACCCTGGCTCTCTCCTTCCCCATCATCCAGTGTCTCAGGCAGGCCAACAGAACACATTCCCATATATTCGCCCTGCTTTCCCCAAATCTCTGCCTTCACACGTGCCACTTACTTGCCTCAATTGCTTTTTATTTCAACAGGTGTTTGCAGAGGAGGAAACCCACTGTCTTCTCCTCTCTGTTTCTCCAGAGCACATCCTACCTTTGGGGTTTTGACTTCCTCGACATCCCTCAAGCCTGCCTCCCTTGGAAGTCGCCTAGGAACGGCTTCTTGAACAGTTGCACAGTACACACAACCTGTTCTCACAGAGTATTTGGGGATTATTCTCTAGGGGGTTTGTACCTCATTTTCCCCTGCTCTTGAACCAAGAGAATAAATGAACACTCACAATAAATCTTTGCACAAGGACAGAAGTAGGAAAAGCTCCTCCTTCCACAACAAACACACTTTGCAATATTTAATGTATCCCTATAGGTAAATTAGCAGCAGATTTCACACCTGGGGATGTCTCTGGACACACATTTTACTCCGAAGGAAGCAAAAACTGGCAGTAAAGATGACTTACCCAGGGAAGGGAAGCAGCAGAGCTGCACCTTCAGCCAAGGGACCTGCCAATGTCCCTTCCACTGCACTCTCCTAAGAAATTAAAAGGAGCAAGTTATATCTCACTTTATAGAGCACTTTAGTAATTTACTCTTTGCTTTCTAGTATGTCAATGATCTCATCGGACATCCTCTTAAAAAAAAAAGTGTTTAAAAGAAACACCTTATTTCTTTTAAAAGTTCTGAGTGTGAACAAACAATGAATCATGGAACACTGCACCAAAAACTAATGATGTAATATATGGTGATTAACATAACAATAAAAAAAGAGGGAAATCATTAGGCATGTCAAAGAGGGAATCCTTGGCTTCAGCTGAATACTGAAGGAGTTAAGGTACTCAACTGTGAAGGAAATGAACAAAATTAAAACTATATGTGAAATGCCAGAAAAAAAAAAAAAAAAGTTCTGAGTGTTCTTGGTTTCTGCCCGGGAATTTTCCAGGTCTGGATTTGGCGGTTGGAAAAAAGAAAGGAGGATGAGAAGTTAATGGGAGAGGAAAGGAAGCTGAGAAGATGCCTGCAAGGTTCCTGGGGAGTCAGAGGAATAAAAGGGGCGCCCCATTCTCGCTTGGAAGAGCTCCAGCTCGGCAGGACCTTTTACCAGGGTCCCCGAGATCGCGCTTGTTTAGGAAGCCACCCCCCCACCCCACCCTCGCCCAGCCCCGCGCTCCCTGCCCCAGCCGAGGGCACGCAGCCAGGCGCGGGGTGGGGGTGGGGTGGGGGGCGGGGGGGGCTGCCGTGGTGCGCCCTCCTGGGACACGCGGGGCGTAGACCGCCAGGTGCGCGGGGAGCCGCTCCCCAGGCGCGCAGCGAGGCCGCGGGTGGGAGGGACCGGGCGCCCCAGGGCACGCCCCCGCCAGCTCCCACGCCCGGCTCCGCCGAGAGCTGGCTAGCCCGGGAGCGGCGGGCTATATAAGTCACCCAGCGCGGGCAGGGCGCACGGGCGCCGCCAGCCTGCGCGCCCTGGGTCCTCCTGGCACGAGGGCGCGAAGGCGGGAGGCGCGGCCCGGCTCGGCCCCTCTGCTGTGCTCCGCCTGCAGCCACTGCCGGCGCACCGCCTCCCGCGAAGTCAGGGAGCCGGTTTGCTGTCCCGACGGGACAGGAGCGGAAAGGCAGGGAGAAATTCCGCCCTGTGGGCGCCCGCCGAGTCCTTCAGTCCTTGCGCCCGCTCGTCGCTCCGCTCTTTGAGCGAAGATGGTGGGGCCGACAGCCTCGGACGTGCCCCCGACGATGCCGGTCAAGATCTTCTCAGCTGGCGTGGCGGCCTGTGTGGCGGATGTGATCACCTTCCCGCTGGACACGGCCAAAGTCCGGCTCCAGGTAGCGAGCGAGATGAGGATGGGGAGGTGTCTCAGGGCAGAGAGGGGACACCTATTCTGTGCGCCCGTTTGATAACGGCTTTGGTTTAACCCACTCCTCAGGTAGGGCGGGTGGCCACCTTAACGGTGTGGGCTTGTCACAGAACTGGATGCATGGGGGTGGGAAACTGGAACTTCTCAGAGATTAACGGAAGAACCACTAGAAGCCACGGAAGATACGCTGACCATGACTACTGCGAAAGCCCCCCAAAGTTAGGGTGCACTAAATGTTCTAAGAGCTAAGTTTACAAGTCAGGTTCTTTTGACTTCCTTAATTTGGTAGGGGCACCTTCCCATCTGCTGCTTAGGGGTTCTGGAGGATTTATACAGGGAGGGTGGGAATGTTCAAAATTCGCAAGGTAGCTAATCTCTCTTCATATATATAGCTAGAGAGATACAGAGATACAGAGGAGATGTTGCTGAGAAGGTAAAACGAACTGAAAATAGGAAAACAGTGGGAAAAATCTTGGCTTGAGGTTTCTCCACAGAGAACAGACAGCCTGTTGCCAGTCTTTGTTTTTTCTTCACCAGGTAGGAACTCCTTACTCAATTTTTACGTCCCTCTGACCTGCACCTTTCTCATTTCCAGATCCAAGGTGAATGCCAGACCTCTAGAGCCATTAGGTATAAAGGTGTCCTGGGTACAGTCACCACTCTGGCAAAAACTGAAGGGCCAATGAAACTCTATAGTGGGCTGCCTGCTGGTCTCCAGAGACAAATAAGCTTTGCCTCTTTTAGGATCGGCCTCTATGACACCGTCCAGGAGTTCTTCAGCACAGGGAAACAAAGTAAGCAATGAGCATTCCTGGGAGGGGCAGATAGCTGGCCCAGACATGCCCTGGGCCCAGCTCTCTTCAAGCAATGTTACGTGCAAGGTAGTGGTCTTCATAACAAATTGGCAAGCAGACATCCAATATTAGCTTGGTATTCACTGTTCATAGAAAGAAAAGGAAATGTGCAAAATCAATTTTTCAGATGCACATTTATACTTATAAAAATCACCTGGTCAGTCATGGAAGTTTTGGGCCTAATTTGGATATCCATCTGGAGAAGATGGATGGGCTGCAGAAAAATGTTTAACTCAAAGCTCTGCAAACGGTCAAAGAGGATGACCTTCCCCAATAGAGGAGGACCATTCTTTGGTCAATGGTATAGGAGTAGCTGCACTCCCCTGCTAGAACTCCCAAACAAGCTCTCAAGTACATTTGTAGGAGAATGTAGGGTAGTCAGGCTTCCAGGACTCCAGACACATCCAAATGAGGTGCTGCATGTGGCAATCTGTTTTTCTTTAAAAAAAAAAAAAAGTGACCTTAGGATTACATTACTTTATGGGACAAGTTATAAATGTTAGTTATACAAACATATAATGAGTTTATTCTATACAGTTTCAAAGTAAAGTCTAGATGCTTTGAGATCCATACTGCATTGTCCTATTTGTAGATGTAGCAAGAGAAGAATCACAAAAGACATAAAGCTGTCCATTCTGGTAGTTTCCTTCACAGTTGACTGTTCTACCCAATTGTTGAGTACTTTAGATACTAAATTAATAGGACATATTTTGGCAGTATTCTATGTTATGCCTATTCCATGCATTTCATTAGCTTTATTGAGCTGCCATGTGCCAGAAACTGTTGGATGCGTAGATTATAGATATCTGTCTAGGCAAGAGCTATGAGCTGTGAATAGGTCAACAGATGAGTATGTACTGTGACACGTGCTCTGTTAGAAGTAATGGCAGGATGTTGGGCACATGGAAGAGGAATATTTTACCTAGCCTTGGGGGCATGGTCGGGCAAGATTTTCCTGAAGAACTGATGTCTGAATCAAATCTTGAAAGACCAATAGGCATAGTAAGGTGAAGTGGTGAGGAAAGGCCTTCCAAGTAGAGTGAAGGTCATGTACAAAGGCTCAGAGAGGAGTGGCAAGAACACACAGCGCAGGGAGGGAGGACTAGGAGGGAGAGGTGAAGCCAAGGCAGGAAGGAGCCAGATCACAAAGGACCTTGCAGACCATGCTAAGAAGTTTAGATTTTGTCCTTACAGTGATGGGAAGTCATTGAAAAATGTTAAGCAGGAAAGTGGCCTAAACCATTTATATTTTTGAAAGATCACTTTGGCAGCAGTATCTAGGGGATGTATAGAAAAAGGGCAAGAAGGGGGTAAGTTAGAAAGTAAGAAACGATCAGGGTAGGCTACAACAATGGCGGTAGGGAAGGAGAAGAGAGATCGGAAAGATTCAGGAAGTGTAGCTGACCGAACTTGGTAGGCAGCTGGCGTAAGGGAAAGGCTGGGATGGAGGGTGGCCTCTGAGGTTCTGGCTAAAGGTACCATTCACAGAGGGGAGGGATATGGAAACTGTCTGAGGGGGAAGGTAAGACATTCATTTGAAGATGTGTCAACAAGTAACATCCAGTCAACACATGAGCTTAGGAGAAATGTCTGGGCTAGACTCCAGGGAGTTACAGGAGGAACCATCAGTTGGGTCAAACAGAGCAGAGAGATCTGGTGTGGAAAGGACAAAACGTGATGCATGTGCCTAACAGCAGGAACCCATGGGCCTCCTTCGCCAAAACATCAAAGGGGAGTAGTGGAGATGGAAGCTGGGTTGTGGAGGCTTGAGGAGCAACTATGAGGAGAGCCATGAGAAGTGAAGACAGAAAATGTTGCCTCTCCCTCAAAGAGCTTGACGGGGAAATGAGAAACAGACTGGAGGACAGGATGAGTGCATCAAAATAAGATTATAAATGTGGGCCCAAAGTGAAGGGAATTGTAATCATACGATCTTGCCAATTAAAACATGGTTATCTATTGTACGCTCAGCTCCTGGACAAGCATGAGGAGAAAAGAGGACAATCATATGGTTATGAAAAGAACTTATGTACTTTCTATATGCAGGACAGTATGTTATATGCTATATTGATATTATTTTAACTCACGCAATAACTCTATGAAATAGATATTGTTATCTCTATTTTACAGATTGGGAAACAGACAGACTGAGAAAGTCCTTGATGAGTAAATGTTCTTGGTCCATACTTCAGTGATAGAAATGAGCCTGGGGGAGGGAGGCTCCAAGACTATGTATAGTTTATTAAATAATATCTGTCTTGAGTAATCTAAGCTCATTTTTCAAGTTTTCAAAAAAAATCACTTTCTTCACTTATTTCTATTTTTGTTCCCTTTGTAATCTGTTGTAGCCTGATACCACTCAACATCCCATCTGGGGGCAGTTTGTCCACTTGGGATTTTCCTAAGACCCCTAAGTCCAATAATTAACATTACCATCCATAAGAGGAAGGCTGAGCATCATTGGTGACCGGTACTTGCTCCCAGTTGGAAAAAACTGAAAAAGAGAGCTAGCTATAGGAAAGAACTAAGCATTGTTTAAGTAGGCATTGTGTTTCCTTTGTCCTTGAAAGTCTTTATTTATTTATTTTTTAAATTCTAATCAACTTTGAAGTTTCTAGCCCTAAAGTGATTTAGTACATACTCAGTACATGATCATCACATGCACAAGCATTAGGGAAATAGAAAAGATATAAAGATACAGTAATACTAACCACTAAAATTAAAAAAGACATAGAGTTGCACTCTGGGTCTTGTTTTTTGTTTTTGTTTGTTTTTCATTTTTGCTTGATAAATATCTTTTCTCTCTGGATAGCAACAGCTAGTTTAGGAAGCAAGATCGCAGCTGGTCTGACAACTGGAGGAGTGGCAGTGTTCATCGGGCAACCCACAGAGGTCGTGAAGGTCAGACTTCAAGCACAGAGCCATCTGCATGGTCTCAAACCTCGCTACACTGGGACTTACAATGCTTACAGAATCATAGCGACAACGGAAGGCCTGACAGGCCTTTGGAAAGGTAAATGACTTCAAGGTGAATTTGATAATTATTAAAACACATATATCCGTTAGCACCTTATCATATAATGGAGCTATTATACATTTTCTTTTTTCTAGGGACTACTCCCAATCTGACAAGAAATGTCATCATCAATTGTACAGAGCTAGTTACATACGACCTAATGAAGGAGGCCCTTGTGAAAAAGAAGCTCCTAGCAGGTAACTTCCTCCTAGCTATGTAACCTGTGAGTCTGCACATTTACAATTTCATCCTGGAGGTTCTCTATCTACATTGTACTGAATCCCTTAATCGTAACAATTAAAAAAATTAAGTAATTTTGAACACTAGATAGAACTTTTAAGCAAACAAAACAAACCAAAACCCCAAGACGCTAACTTTTAGAAGTTTTGCTGCAACCAATTTTTTTCTGCAACAAAGAGAAAGTGTAATTATATTCTTACATCAGCGTTGTTCTCACTTAATTATAATATATGAGACTTTGGTTAGCCTCTTATTCTTTATATAGCATAACTCAGGAGGTGAGTCCGTCCCACATTATATCCAAATGAACTGGTTATGTAAGGAGCTCATCAGTGTTTTCATCCAAAAAGTAGTACCGCTGGCTAGGTTCCTAAGATAGTCTAACAGGTTCTAGAGATATTGAAATTCTCCCTGGACAGTGACTTTAATTCAATGAAAAAGTATTAGATGCCTGTGTCTCAGGCATTATGCCATACCCTAAGGGCACAGAGCAGACTGACAGGTTATTTTTCTAAATCACATCACTGTGCCATGTACTCTTTGTCATCTTTTTTGGTAAGGGTAAGTAAAACCTTCCTTATTATATTTTATTTATTTATACAAAGACATCTACATTGGTCTCCTGATATCATCAGGTTTCCAAGGATCTGATAGATAACTAAAAACTAGAAGCTTCTTCCAAAAGTCTGTTGCTGACTTGTTTCATTGATCCATTTTAGACGACTCACCCTGCCACTTTGTGTCAGCTCTTATCGCTGGATTTTGCACAACAGTCCTGTCCTCACCAGTGGATGTGGTAAAAACCCGATTTGTTAATTCTCCACCAGGACAGTACACGAGTGTGCCCAACTGTGCCATGACAATGCTCACTAAGGAAGGACCGTTGGCTTTTTTCAAAGGGTAGGATATGGTCTTCTCTGTCTATAATGCTGTGTTCAGGCCATCTGTGTGCTTTGGGATGCTTTCTTGTCTAAGTAGTTGACCAGCCTTAGGGGCGCCTGGGGGGCTCAGTCTTTAAGCGTCTGCCTTCGGCTTGGGTCATGGTCCCGGGGTCCTGGATCGAGCCCCGCATCGGGCTCCCTGCTCTGCGGGAAGCTTGCTTCTCCCTCTCCCACTCCCCCCCTGTTTGTGTTCCCTTTCTCACGGTGTTTCTCTCTGTCAAATAAATAATTGACCAGCCTTAGTCTATGCCGTATGCTTAGTGTCTATTTTTCCTTGCCATAACTATCTCCAATTCGCTAATTCCACTGGGCCAGAAAATGGAAAACTGTGATATTAAGATTTTCTCAGCCTTGATCAGAGGCTCACTTAAATTCAGTGACCTTTCCCTTGGTCCCAATCTATTGGGAATGTGGACAGGATTTTGCCTGATCAGGGCTAGAGAACTATAAAGTGGAGGGAAAGCATAATAAAGGGCTAGAAGAAAAGAAGAGGTGATTTTCACTATTAAAATAATTTTTTAATTTTAAGTTTTTATTTTAATTCGTTAGTGCTATATTAGTTTCAGGTGTACAATATAGTGAGTCAACACTTCCATACATCACCCAGTGCTCATCACAACAAGTGTACTCCCCAATCCGCATCAACCATTTAACCCATTCCCCTCCCCCCCTCCCCTCTGGTAACCATCAGTTTATTCTCTATAGTTAAGAGTCTATTTCTTGATTTGTCTCTCTCTCTTATTTCCCTTTGCTTGTTTTTTAAATTCCACATATTAGTCAAATTATACAGTATTTGTCTTCTCTGACTGACTTACTTCATTTAGCATCATACTCTCTAGCTCCATCTGCGTCATTGCAAATGGCAAGATTTCATTCTTTTTTATGGCTAAATAATATTCCTGTGTGTGTGTGTGTGTGTGTGTGTGTGTGTGTGTGTGTGTGTGTGTCTTCATCAGTCAGTGGACACTTGGGCTGCTTCCATATCTTGGCTATTGTAAATAATGCTGCTATAAACATAGGGGTGCATGTATCCTTTTGAATTAGTGTTCTTGTATTCTTTGGGTAAATATCCAGTAGTGTGATTGCTGGAATTTTCACTATTTTAACTTGATGGACTCAGATTTTTTTGACTGTATTAAAGTAAAACTAGAGAAAAATCATTGCCACTGACCTAGAAAAGTCAGGCAGAAAATGATGTGGTTTGGATAAATATTACACTCACCTTGAAACTAGTATTGTGTAGTTTCCCATTTCCCATTTCCCATTAAGCAGTATTACATTGGATACTACCTTCCTAAGAAAATACAGTATGAACTAATGTATGTATCCATAAAATTAAACTAGTTATAATATAGTTAAACTAGTGATATAGTAACTATAAATAATATAGTTAAACTAGTGATAATATAGCAACTTCTGTAACCATTTATAATTGTAAGGCAATGCCTGAGACTATAAAATAAGCATAAATGCACCATACACATATACACAGGGTTTTCAATTCACCATAATCAGCACTGATGATACATTAATACAAATGAAATATATTATAAAATTAATTTAGAATGGATATCTCAGTTATTAACCATTAACCATTTAACAATATTTTTATTTTTTTCAAACTTGAAACCTTTTGGGAATATATCCTGCAACAAGGATGAACACTGAAAACGTTATGCTGAATCAAATGGGCCAGACACAGGACAAATATTGTATGATTTCACTTATGTGAGGTATCTAGAGTAGTCAGATTCATAGAGACAGAGGTAGAATGGTGATTACCAGAGGCTGAGGGGAGGTGGGGGCGTAGGGAATTATTGGTTTGATTTTTTTTTTAGATTTTATTCATTTATTAGAGAGAGTGCAAGAGCACGAGTGGGGGTGGGGGGAAGGGCAGACAGAGAGGGGGAAGCCAACTCCCCATGCTGAGCAGGAAGCCTGACACCGGGCTCGATCCCAGAACACCAAGATCATGACCTGAGCCAAAGGCAGATGCTTAACTGACTGAGCCACCCAGGCGCCCAGGAATTATTGTTTAATAGGTACAGTTTCCAGTTAGGGATGACCAAAAGGTTCTGGAGATGGGTAGTGGTGACGGTTGCTCACAACGTGAATGTACTTTATGCTACTGAATTATACACTTAAAATGGTTAAAATGGTAAACTGATGAACATTGTACCACAATTAAAATACACACACACACACACACACACACACACACACACACACACACACCCAGGAGTCAGGAGAAATGTGTTGAGACCTTAAAAACAGCAACAACAAAAACAAAACAAAACATAACCCCCCCCCCAAAAAAACCCAAAAACCTTCGGGGCATGATTTTTATAGGCCAGATCTCTTTTAAAAAATCTATCCAAGGCAGATTTAACTGATGACATCTTTTTCTCCCGAATGTCTCATTGCTGCAAACAGGCATTCAAAATCAATCATTTGGTCTGCACAGTTTGACAGCATAACAAACAAAACAAAAACAAACCATCCACCCCCCCCCAAAAATGCCCTTAGCTCCTAGACACTCTTCTAAGGCTGAGAACTGCCAAGATCTGGACAGCACTAATTTCTTCACTTTGGAAAATGCTCCACTTACTCATCGCTTTTTCTTTGCTTTCTCCTCCTCCTCTTTCTTTTCTTTTTTTTAAAGATTTTATTTATTTGAGAGAGAGCAAGCATGAGAGAGGGGAGGTCAGAGGGAGAAGCAGACTCCCCCCTGAGCAGGGAGCCCGATGCAGGACTCGATCCCGGGACTCCAGGATCATGACCTGAGCCGAAGGCAGTCGCCCAACCAACTGAGCCACCCAGGGGCCCTCTCTGCCTCCTCTTTCAACAGTTGCCTACCTCCCATTCAGAAAGGAGAGCGAAAGAAAGCAAAAATTTCCCCGCTCCTCAAAAAAGGAGAGTTATTGGGAAATGCCCTTTCAGAAAGGACACGTGCTTTGGTGCGGTGGGAATGAAGGCCGTTTGTGTATTTGGATAGACGTGATCGTCTGGGTTTTTGTTGTTCTGAAGCAGTATTAGACAGCTAGATGAAACATTATCTTGGGCATCGCTGGCAAGGTGAGGAATAGGTACTTTTTTAAGTGCCTAAATTTACGTGACAAGAGAGTGCGATGAGAAGCAGAAGCTGTCTGTGTGATAATAGCTTTAAGAATTCTAACAAACTAGGGATGCCTGAGCGGCTCAGTCTGTCAGGCGTCTGCCTTCGGCTCAGGTCATGATCCCAGGGCGCTGGGACCGAGTCCCGCATCGGGCTCCTTGCTCAGTGGGGAGCCTGCTTCCCCCTCTGCCTGCCACAACATCTTCTTGTGCGCGCGCGCTCTCTCTCTCTCTTTCTCTCTGACAAAAAAAAAAAAAAAAAAAGCTAACAAACTCAAGAGAATGGTGACATGCCCTTTTCTAGATTTGTACCTTCCTTCTTGCGACTCGGATCCTGGAACGTCATTATGTTTGTGTGCTTCGAACAGCTGAAACGAGAACTGATGAAGTCAGGGCAGACTGTGAACTGTGCCACATAATCATCTTCAGGAAAAGGTGGTGACATACCAGTGGGAATCTTTGCTGACCGGATAACTCAAAAACGAAAACAATACACCTACTCCCTTTATTTCACCCTAAGCAGATAAAGGAATTCTGATAGAGAGTTTTGGACTTTTTAAAGAAAAGTTAATATTTATTTATTGTGACTTTTATTCTCCATGTTTTTGGAAGGGGAAAGCAAAATGCTCAGTATGAACCCTGGTGCATGCAATGTGCAAATAAGTGACTGCATTTGATTGGCTATTTTGAGAGGGAGGGAGTCTTACGACTGAACATGAAGAAATTGAACATGTTTTAATTATAACTCAAGTTGACAGGAGAGGAAAACTGAGTGGTGCATTTTATGTTTATAAATACTTAAACATGAACAGTTATCAAGGAAAATGCTGCTATTTCCCTTTAATGTATTAACCCAGTTGTCAGTTAATATATCCAATAAAGTACTGCTAATACCTTTGAAAGTTTGCCATTTTGGATCTATCTCTGAGTGTAAAACTTGCAGTTCACCTAGATTACAAAACTGCCCAATAGCAAGTGAAGGTCTTTAGAAATCAATAGGCATAAACATACTTTAAATGTAATTGGTACAGATTTTTAATTTTGGGAGTCTATATTTTATGGCACTCGTAACAACTTCTAAGACACTATAATCATTTGGGCATATTGTTATTAGAATTGTGATATCTATTCCAGAATCCCAGAATTTTTGAGCCAGAAGGTAACCTTCAGTTAGAAGAACAGTCTGAGATTCCTAGGGAGATAGAAACCAATCCTCATGGCATCTTTCCAGCCAAGCTAAATTCATCATTAACACCTGCAGTAACCTTTTTCTCGTGTTACAAACCGAGTGCAGAAGAAATAGGGAAAGAATAAACAAAAGATTAAAAAAAGAGGTATAAGACAAAGCCCAGGCTTGTTTTAAGCCAAAAACAAAGAATGGCGGAAGGGCCAGGAATCCCACAGGCTATCAGGCAGCATTCTGTTTCCATCAGCTCCACATTCTATCTACTGTTGTGTTTTTTCCCCCTTGACTTTATGAGGTTCCCCTGGTGCTTATTTCCCCTGCTGTTACCTGTAAAATGGTCTTGTAGCAGATGTCTGCAATATCCCTCATCTATCACTTTGAGCTCACCACTCTGGCGCATGCGGGCCTGACTTCCTGTTGTCACGTCAGCATCTCTACAGGGTCTTCCGGCCGTCAGAGCCATCTTTGTGCGCCTGCGGATGGCACGATAGACAAACAGGGAAAACAACACACCCTTGGGAGAGCGGCCCTTGCCCAATAACTGATGGGAGTTTTTATATAAATACTTTAGTCCCCTGACCCTCATCCAGGGACTCAAAATCCTGCTACACAGTATAATTTTGTTTAATACAAAACCCTTTATGGGATGACTTCAATTCCCTCACTCCCTTACCAGTGTTTCCTGGAATCACCTCCCAAATGAATGACAAATCCTTATCTTAAGGTCTGATTCTGGGGGAATCCAAACTACAACAAACCACAACCTTAGAGTAGCATGTTTCTGTCAAGAATACGGAAGAAAACATAGAAGTTCGTTTCTTTGCTGTCAGGCAGTAGGCAGTAGTGACAAGATGCTCCCCCTTGATCAAACCTTATAGTCAGGCTTCTCTGAGCTGCCTTTTTCTACTAAATCCTTCTTAGGCATGTCTACAAGGGCACAATTTAACAAGAATCGGGCTAAATAGGTTTAGCCTGAATCCCTCACCCTTGATAAATGATCAAAAATTCCTCCTCTACCCTTGATATTGGATCAATTCTCTTGGATTTTCTATGTACACATTTATATCATTTATGAATAATAACTTTTCTTTCTTTCCATCCACTTGTTTTATTGTACTAGGTAGGACTCTAGCACAATTTTGAACAGATGTACTGTGACAATTTGGATTTATTCATCAAATGTTCACTCCTTAGCCGTTTCTAATAGAGTACATTTCCCTGTTCCATTGAAGTTGGACTTGACCATGTGACTTGCTATACGACCCAGGGAATGTGAGTGAGCAAAGGCTTGAAATCCCTGTGAGCCATTGGGCTTGTTCTTGTGTTTCTGCTGCACCATTAAAGAGCATGCCTCAGGTAGCCCATTGGTCCCAGATGAGTAATCACATGGAGCTGACAGGAACCGAACCCATGACCTGTATGCAAGGCCAGCTGAATCCAGTGGAGATTAGCAAAGCTGCCTGGTTAGCCTACCCACGTGTGAGGAGGGAATGCCTTTTTTTGTATGCCACTAAGATTTTTGCGTGATTGGTTGTTATACGTTGTTACTGTGGCAAAAACGGACGGATACAAGTGGTGACATCCTTTCTTAATTCTCATCCCGATGTTCTACCATTAAATATATTTGCTATTGTTTTATAGATACATTTTGTAAAATTAAGGTAACCCCTTTCTATTTCTCATTTGCTAAGTTTTTAACATGAATGTATGTTGAATTTTTATCAAATGCTTTTTCTGCAACTTTTAAGATTATGAGATTTTCAAATGCTAATGTGGTAAATTTCATCATTATTATTCTGGGAATTAACCCAACTGAGTTATAACTGATCACACATTAAAACAGCATATCTATATGTAGTTCATTATTGATTTAATATATTTATTTCTGGATTTCAGTATGCTTCTATTTAGCATTACAGCATCTAAAATGACACTAGCATATAATTATTTTTTCATTCTGTTTTGGTTGGACTTGAGTCATCAAAATTATGAGTTTCATGAATTACAGGGTATCCACCTTTTATGTAGAAGAGATTGTGAAAACTGTCATTATTTTATTCTTAAATGTGTTAACTCATCAGTGCAAGCCACACAGAACTGTAGGTTTTTTAATGGAAAGATTTTAAATTGCTGAATCCACATAACAATGCTAGGACTTTTTGCTTCCCTATTTCTTCTTGTACAGTTTTGTTTCGGTAAGCATATTTTTCTAGAAATGTTTATATTTCATCTAAATTTTCAAATTTTTGAGGTTATCCTTAATATATTTTCTTTTCAGTGTTTGCAGGATCTGTAGTGATGTTTCATATTTAATTCTTCATATCATTTTGCTTTCTTCCTTATTCTTAATTTATCTCACCAAGGTTTATCAGTATTACTAGTCTTTTCAAGCAACAGCTTTTTACTTTTGTTGATTCTATGGTATGCATTTCTATTCCGTGTATCTGGGCTCTTGCCTTTAGTATTTCCTTCTTTATTTTCTTTAGGTTTATTTTGTTCTTTGCCAAACTCCCTGAGATGATTGCTTTGTCTTAGTTTTCAGCCATTCTTTTTTCAATACATTCATTTAAAGCTATAATTAGTACTAACTTTAACAAGTACTGCTTTTGCTGTATCCAACCAGTGACATACGTAGTATTTTTGTTTAGTTCAAAATAAGATACATACACACACACACACAGGAATGCTCTGCAGCTGTACGTAAATCGAATAAGGAAGCTATGCATTAATATAAAAATGTGTCTAAGATTCATTGCAAAGTTAAGTAAAACATACTGCAGTGTAGTATGAATTATTCCTATCCTTTGTAAGAATGGGGGGTGGGAGTGGCAGCTTCTTTTCTGGTCTCATAACCAACTGCTATTACCCAATAACATCTTAAATAGGTAATCAGTGGATGAGTTAAAGTCATAAAAATAAAAATTTTCTGTGTATTTTGATTCATCTAGAGGAACATGAATAAAGGATTAAATAAGAAAGACACTATTTCATGAATATAAATGACTTAAATAAGGGATGGGGAGGAAGGGAAGAGATGGAAGGATTAGGAGAAAGGCTTATATAACAATTTTGACACATTTTTTATTTGCTCACAACATTCCGAACAAAATGACATCACATTTCAACTATTGCTTTTACATAAGAAGTTAATTGTTTTATCCAAAGTAGACAAAAATCTATTTCTTTAAGTTGCCAACCAGCACTTTTTCCCCCAGGGAAAGCCACTGCTCATTTTTTGAATACATTAACAGAAACACAGAATTGCCCTATAATTAAAAAAAAAAAAAGAAAAAAGAATTGTCCTATAATAGTTGGGTCTTAGCTGAACTACATTTAAATTTTTTCTTGTCAAAAGCTGAAGCCAGAAAAAAACAAAACAAAACGAAACAAGCTCACTCATGATTTCGCTCAGATGTTTAATAAGTCCATCAATCTTCGTTAACAATCTGCTTGTGTGGAGAGGTTCATAAATATGAAAATGGAAAGTAAGCCTGCCCAGACTTGTTCGTAGAGAAGCTGGGTGGACCATTTATCCTGAGAAAATAGCTGCTGGCCCCCAATCATTAATTCAAGGAGGATAATAAACATTATTGCCCTCCAAGCCAAACCTCTTCTCTTCCGTGCCATGATAGTGTGTAATCTTTCCTGCTCTGGTAACGAGCATTCCACTTTTCACTCATATAATGCTGCTCCTTTGAGCAAATCTTTGACCAAGTTCAATTTCACTGAATGCAAAGGGGAGAAACAGTACATAAACAATTATTAATACTGGAATAAAAACGAAGACTACGTATATTTTTCACAAAGAGAAACACATACAAATCCAAATAGTTGTTAAAATAGAAAAAAAAACAGGATGGGCATTTTCAAGAAAAAGATCTTGTTTTCTGAACTGGTGCCAGTAAGACAATGATTTTATATCTAACTCTACCACCATATATATATACAAAGAGAGGCTGGTCTAGGTTCACTGATACATTGATATCCCCTGATTTCTCCTATTTCCTTAAAGATTGTCTTTCAGAACGTATTTGAACTACAACCAGTGTAATTCTATGTTTACACTATTCTTGTCACTGGCACACTCTCTTCGATCTGGCACACACAAAAATTCATTTCAACATCGATTCACTTTTCTGATGCTAAAGCAAACATAATTTTCCTGCTACTTCAATTCTATCACTACTTTGGTATTTCATTCATTATTATAGAAACAGGTAAGATTCTAAATATGGATTTTAAGACTACATAAAATTCTAACATACATAGGTTGAAAGCAAGGAAAAGTAGGAAGGTAGACACAATTATGTTTTTCTTTTCATGTATGTCACTATGTTACATTCTAATTTACAAGCGGGGACACTTAGCTTGGCTTCCAGACTATCAGACAGTTAGATTTTATTGGTAGCTTTTAGACCACCTCACTACAGAATTTCTGAAATGGTTACTGATTATTTTAAGCAAAAACAGGACAATATCTATATTATATAAACAGAGTTCATTTAAAGACCATATTATTGACCAAACTTTCTAATGACATTCTTAAAACATTAAAGTTTTTTTCCTCCCTAGAAGGGGAAAACTTACTTAAAAAGTTTCCCCTTTCATAATTGGATCATTCTTTATTAAGTATATTGACAAAGGTTTAAATCAGTTCAAGACCTCAGCTGTTGAAAGATTAAAATATAAAGGTAAGTATTTTGAGCATGGAAATTAAACAGAATTGCTTTCCATGTAAGAGTAAACATTCAATATATAAAATGAACTTTAATGGTTAGCACCTGATCCTTACCAGGATTTTGCTACATCTCCTAGAACTCTAGAGCTGGATAATAAAACATTGAAAACATTAAAAAAAAATAAAAAAAGAAAAAAGATAATCCCAAGGTTGCAAAGTCTCCTACAGGAAACCAAAACCAATTTTTAAAAATTCCTGTGATACTGAGACGCCAAACCACCATGATTTTAATAAAATGAACCCAATTTTTTAAAGTTTTATCTTGTTGAGAAAATAATAGTTTTAATGCTGCGTTCTCAATGTACTTGCTACACAACACTGCATCTGTTATTTTCCACTTGGATATTTTTTATCACTCTTCTCTTTGGCAAGTTTGCAGAGAGAGGTGTGTCAACAGACATGAACAAATACTGCAAGTCTCAGGTCTTGCTATACCACAGGAGTCAATCCTTAAACATTTGATATATACCATGTGAAAAGATGCGCTAACTCTCATCATGTTTTAAGTTATGTCTCTCACAGGCTGGTTTCTGTACCATTTAAGAAGAACTTAGTAATTAGACATATCTTTAAACTCTTTTAGTTTTGCTAGGAGTACAAATTTCTAAAACACATATGGAAGAAATTATTCCCATTAGAATCTCATCACTCTATAATCCTTGACAGCACTTGATGCCCTCCTGAGATTTGAGGAGAATAAAGCTATACGCAATGCACAGTCATCATCCTCAGGCTACTTTAGAATCCCACAGACCATTAACTCAAAGAATACCCATAAAGTCCATACACCATTCTCTAGAAACATTCTTGGGGCAAAGCAAAAAGAAGCAACAGTTAACAGTAAGTAAAATAAACCAACGTTTTAACGGGTATTTTTAAAAAGCTTTAGGTTTTCCTTTTGTTTCAGTTCAAAGACAGCTTTATGGAAATAGCCACTGTCCTTTGAATACAGTCAAGATTTTCTTAGCAAATACATCTCTTTTCATAAACGCTCACTGGCAGAGAAGCCTCATAAAAGGCCTTCACACCGAGCACTAACCACATTTCCTTCCTACCACAGACTGAAAAGCAAATACTGAAGATGAAAAAATGCCTTTAAGCTTTAAAATACCACTGTGATATATCCAAGTGTGGTATTTAAAAACAAAAAAGCTAGTCACCAATACTGTCATTCTCTCATTAGCTATTACGCTAAATAATCAGAGAAACCAAAAAGGAAGAGGCCACGATTGGTTATCCTGTCTGACGAGTCTATGCTTTTTGCTACGAATGAAGCAACATCAGGAATGTGACTGAGATGCAAAGAAAGCCATGAAGAACTACTCTTCCTGTTAATTAACCTAGGGCTAAAATAAAGCGAAGGAAATAAAAATCATTTCCAAACTGAAGCACAAAAAATCTGAAAGGAGCTCTGAAAAGAGACTGACTTGATAGTTACAACACATAAAAATGAAAACTGATTTTTATACATTTTAATCAACCAATTTAATACAAATACCTGATTTATACTTTTACACCAAATGGGCTAAGTCCCAAGTTCCAAACTATAGTTCGCAGGCCTCTACAGAAAGGATCTTTGGAAGGATAAGGTACCTTTGGAGAACAGTGTATAAATGACTGTAAACATACACTGATTGTCCACTAGCTTTCTTAAATAGAATTTCTGAAATATTTTTGTAGGAAATTATATATAACGAGTGTAATTGATCAGATTTCTATTACAACATATAAATTCTGTTGTGTGTGCAAAATGTGGTAGAAATAGAAGATACTACGGATGATTCATATTTTTAAAGTAAGTGATACATTACAATCCAGTAAGAGTCCTTTAATCTTTTCATGAAACTTCTCTCTATACATGTTGAAATACATAATGCTTTCTGGCTTTTCTTCAAACCAAAACTTGTCAAATTCATAGACAAGGTAACCTGCAGTTAAAGAAAAATAAAACATAAATATAGTGCTCAGTAGGGAAATCACAACCAAAGCATCTCATTTTAAAGTGCAGAATCATCCTTTAAATTCCACATTAAGATACAATAATCAGACCCTACGACCCAGCAATTGCACTACTAAGTAGTTAACCAAATGATACAAAAATAGTGATCTGAAGGGGCACCTGCATCCCAATGTTTATGGGTAATATCCACAATAACCAAACTATGGAAAGAGTCCAGATGTCCATCGACAGATGAATGGATAAAGAAGATGTGTTATATATACACAGTGGACTATTACTTGCCCATCAAAAAAAAAAATGAAATCTTGCCATTTGCAACGACACGGATGGAACTAGAAGGTATTATGCTAAGCAAAATAAGTCAGTCAGAGAAAGACAAATACCGTATGATTTCACTCAAATGTGGAATTTAAGAAACAAAACAGATGAACAAAAGAGAAGGGAAGGAAAAATAAAGTAAATTGAAAACAGAGATGGGGGTAAACCATAAGAGACTCTTAACTATGAGAAACAAACTGAAGGTTGCTGGAGGGGATGGGGGTCGGGGGACTGGATAATTGAGTGATGGGGTTTATTAAGGAGGGCACTTGATGTAATGAGCACTGGGTATTAGATGCAACTGATGAGTCACTAAATTCTACCCCTGAAACCAATTTTACACTATATGTTAACTAAACTGAATTTCAATAAAAAATTTTTTTGAAAGATACAGTAATCAGAAATTATATTAAACTACTAGAAACATGGAAAACCTTAAAAGAAATATTTTTGTATGTTCAAAATAAGCAGGAATTTCAATAAAATATTTAGTATATTTACTGTTTGTCTCAAATATCAATAAAATCCCTCAAATGGAAAGAGACACAGCACTGTCAAAAGATACCTTGGGAATAGGAAAAAAAGTTATCCTCAGAGACCCCTGAAACACAAATATGAAAGTAATGAGAAAAGATTTGACAAGGATAAAATACATGAAAGCTGTTTGCTACTTGATTTATAAATCTAAAAATTATTTCTGCCTTCCTCAATGAACTATCAGCACCTTCTCTTTTTAAAAAGAATATATGAGGGGTGCCTGGGTGGCTTAGTTAGTTAAGAGTCTCACTTTTAATTTTGGCTCAGGTCATGATCTCAGGGTTGTGAGACAAGCCCCACATCGGGCTCTGTGCTCAGCATGGAGTCTGCTGGTCCCTCTCCCTCTGCTCCTCCACAGCCTCCCCCCGGCATTGGCTCATGCTCTCTCTCTCTCTCTCAAATAAATAAAATGTTAAAAAAAAAAAAGAACTCTAAATAGTAGGCTTATCATTTTTGTTTTTTAACATCCTCATGATAGTAGCCAAATTAATTCTCAAAATATTAACAGTACTTAATAAAAAATATGTATATAGATATATTTACAACCAAAAAACGTGAATTTAAAACCACTCCTACACTGTATTTGGATTCAACCAAATATATTTATTTAATTATTTAACAAATGCTATTATAGTGCTCACCATGTGCTCATGTGCATATTTACTCTCACAGCAATCCTATGATGCAGTACTACCTTATACCCATTTTACCGAAGAGGAAACGGAGTGTGCAGAGAGCTTTTACTTTTTTTCCCCGTAATCTCTGTGTTCAGCGTGGGACTGGAACTCATGACCCTGAGATCAAGAGTTGCATGCTCTAAGCTAGCCAGGTGCCCACAGAGCTTAAAAAACTTGCTCAAATCACATAGTTTGCAAGTGGTCTCTATTATGTAATAAATTAGACTTTGTTTCCACCAGAATCTCATTTCCTCTCCTGAAAGAATTTTTAAGAAGAAATAGAAGTGACTTAAGATTTTTAAATTTTATTTATTTACTTGACAGAGAGAGGGAGAGAGAGAGCACAGAAGCAGGGGGAACAGCAGAGGGAGAGAGAGAAGCAGACTCTCCACTGAGCAGGGAGCCCGACGCGGGGCTCGACCCCAGGACCCTGAGATCATAACCTGAGCCAAAGGCAGATGCTTAACTGACTAAGCCACCCAGGCAGCCTTAAGATTTTTTTTTTTATTTGACAGAGAGAGAGAGAGCACAAGAGAGCACAAGCAGGGGGAGCAGCAGAGGGAGAGGGAGAAGCAGGCTCCCCACTGAGCAGGGAGCCCTATCTGGGATTTGATCCCAGGACCCGGGGATCAGGACCTGAGCCAAAGGCAGACGCTTAACCGACTGCCACCCAAGCACCCCAGAAGTGACTTATTTCAGATAAATGGAGCAGGGGAAGACAGTGACTACATAAAGTGTGGCTAGACTATCATAATCACTTAATATGAAAAAAAATAAAGTAAATTCTATTTTAGAACATTAGTCATAAATAAAGTAAACATTAACAGTTAAGAACCATGACATTTCGGGGTGCCTGGTGGGTGGTTCATTCAGTCAAGCGTCTGCCTTCGGCTCACGTCATGATCCCAGGGTCCTGGGATCGAGCCCCGCATCAGGCTCCCTGCTCAGTGGGGAGCCTGCCTCTCCCTCTCCCTCTCCCTCTGCTGTGCTCTCTCTTTCTCTATCAAATAAATAAATAAAATCTTGCAAAAAAAAAAAACACATGACATTTCAACACTGAAATATCACTTCATAAGAAGGCCAATTTAAGAACGATCTCAGATTAATCTCTTGATATGATAAAACAGATATTTGTTAACCAGGATATGTGGGAAAAGTGAAGAATAAGCCCTTGCCGGGCAGAGGGATACCACTTGCTTCTCATTCCCAAAAGACAAACTGAGAATGGTAATCTTGTAAATATTTTTAAGTAGTACTTTTAATCTTTATTTCATTCAAAATTTAGCTTGTGTATACATTGGAACAATAGTACATCTATAGAAATTACATATTCATGTATAAATTGAATCTGTGCTCTCCCCCACCCCAAATCCCATCACATTGATAGGGATGTACAATAAAAAAATTTAGAGATTAATAATCTGGGTAGTATGAAAAATAAGACATCTATCTAAATTTTATTGTATTTTTGTTTTAGTATTTTTGGCTATTATGTTTTAGCTATTTACCATTCATATAAGTCCTTTAGATCGCCTTTTTTTTTTTTTTTTAAGTGGGTTCCACACTGGGCATGGAGCCCAATGCAGGGCTTGAACTCATGACCATGAGATCAAGACCAGAGCTTAATCAATGGAGCCACCCAGGCATCCCAAAACTGCTTTTCATTACCACCTATGCAAATGATTATTTAGGTCTGGAACAAACTGCTCAAGTAAAAAGTACTAGAATTTCTTCCTTCAGAGTTGGGTTGTTGGTCTATAATGTAAATTGGTCTCAGAGAAAGACCTGCCTCAAGTCCTGCGACTATAATGGCTAAGTTGATGAGACATCAAGAAACTCCAGGAGATGACATCAAAATTATAGGAAGCTGGCAGGGCCTTACATGGCATAAACTATGAAATCCTTGCAGGGAAGGATGGAAAAGAGTTGTTTCCACAAAGCACATCTGTTTTCCTTTTGACTCTAGGAGTTCTAAAACACTAGTATTGACAGAAATTCCATTAAAATTTTTTTTTTAAGATTTATTTATTTATTTGACAGAGAGAGACACAGTGAGAGAGGGAACACAAACAGGGGGAGTGGGAGAGGGAGAAGCAGGCTCCCCACCGAGCGGGGAACCCGACACAGGGCTCGATTCCAGGCCCCTGGGATCATGACCTGAGCTAAAGGCAGAGGCTTAACTGACTGAGCCACCCAGGCGCCCCTCCATACAAAATTTCTAACTTTAAAATTCCCTGTGTGCTTTTACTGTCCCTAACCAAAGCCACAGGGGCACCTGATGTTTTCCAGTAGGGGTTAAAAATAAGGGAACCAGGGGCGCCTGGGTGGTTCAGTCGGTTAAGCATCTGCCTTTGGTTCAGGTCATAGTCCCAGGGTCCTGGGATCGACCGAGTCCCTCATCGGTCTCCCTGCTCAGTGGGGAACCTGCTTCTCCTTCTCCCTCTGCTGCTCCCCATGCTTGTGCTCTCTCTCGCTTGCTCTCTCTCCCTCTCAAGTAAATAAGTAAAATCTTAAAAAAAAAAATAAATAAGGGAACCATAGGAATAGGGATTAACTGTAAACTGGCGTGAGGGATCTTGTGGGGTAATAAAAATGTTCTAAAATTGGATTATGGTGTTGGTTGTGTAACAGCAAATTTACCAAAACTCAGTGAATTGTATACTTAAAATGGGTGAATGTTATGTTATATAAATTATTCCTCAATAAAGTTGTTATTGAGCCATAAATTTTTTTGTTATACAAACTTGAGTTATTTTTTTTGGAATCACCAAACCAATCAGGATAACACTGGATATCTGCTTATATTTAAATGTACAAGAGGGTGACAAAGGAGCTAAGAAACTGAATTAGCACTCACCATTTCCAGCCTTGTCTATAGAGAACAGCAACACCAACAAAAAAGCAGTAGGAAAAAAGGGGGAAATGGGGAGATGGAGACAGATCACAGGGCAATCAAAAATGTGAAAGCTCCTCTCTTTATAGTTTTTTGTTCTATACAAAAACTATGACCTTGGAACCGATTTTTGCAAACTGGGCCCAGTCCCCCAATAAATAAGGTATGTATGTTCAAAAGATAAAGTTTCAAATCATTTTCTAGTTAGAATATGCTCCTTCTAAGAAAAACAGACCTTAATTAAGACATAAAACTTTACTGGTAAAGGGTATGAAAACCAATTTTTGGGAAGAAACTTCAGTGTATAAGATTGAGAGGGTGAGGGGTGTGTGTGTGTGTGTGTGTGTGTGTGTGTGTGTGTGTGTGTGTGTG